ACAATCTGCGTAGAGGACTCCGTTTTGTGATTCAGAACTTGCAGTTACAAACACTCTTCGGCAAAGCAAGCGTGCAAGCGTTGCTCAAGATATCAAACCTCAAAATCACAACCCAATTGCCTACCACAAGCCCCTGGTCTCGAAAAGCGGGGGGGGGGGGAAGTTTGAGCCCTCCAGACTCTCCCTGTCGCGAGGGCGTGGTGCCATCCCTGGACCTCCAGAAGGCTCCCCTCGATGCGGACGATGGTGGAGGCGTCTTCGTGAAGTACAAGGCGAGGGCTGATGCGGGCGGGGGCCCGGGCGGGGGCCCGTGGAGGCTGGCTCGAAGAAGAGGGAAAGGAAGCGGCAAGGCTCCACTGCTTGATTGCCCCAAGACACCCTGGTACTACTAGTGGGGTAATACCGCGGGGTGGAAGCTACATATTGATTCAGTCTTGGCAATTTCCCGGACGTGAAAATGGCAACATACCCTACCTCAGGGTAGACTTCAGCCCAGCATTACTTGATTTCCCCAAGAGGATATCTGTGTTCAGTCTAAGAAGAGGAGCCGCTGCAACAGGCACCCTGTACACGTTGTCGGCCGGCCTGATTGACAACTAGAGGAGTCGAGGTTGTGGGAATGTGGGGTCCGATAGATCCTTTGTTATCATTTGCGTGGAAAATATGTGTTCTTTTCTTTGGAATATGAATACGTATGTGGATTCTACTGAGTAATATACATACATAACCGTATTTGTCTGTAATATATATATATATATATATGTATAGGCATACTCGTATTGTCAGCTTCGGACCAGCGGAAAAGGGCAACGGCGCTGCTCTTTTTGCTTCCTTTGCGTTGACATGGGTGGTCCCCATAGTGGCATAGGCAGCCCCGGTCTGGGCTGCCCCGGTCTGAGATGGCCCGAAAGGGAACCCATGATTGATGCACCCTTGGTTGATGATTGTTTCAGATCCTGTTTTTTTTCCCTCACGGGCAGGGGTGACGACCCTCATGACTGCGGCATGTTTACTATTCTGGGGTCGAACAAAGGCAGCTGCACTTTGGAAGTTTTGTCAAAGGCGACCTATCTCCAGGGCGCGTACCGGGCTCGATTCACAAAGTGATCTGGCAGCTGGCAAACTTCAGAGTTTGAAAGGGGAGCCAAAAGGAAATCCTGGATTTCGAAGGGCTACGAAACTGATTGCAGATCGCAAGTCTCCTCTTGGACGCAAAGGAAATGCAGGACTGCTGCGCACCTCTAAAGAACAACTCAACAATGGGTAGGTGTTTGGTCTGAAGTCCTTTTGTTTCCTTTTCCAGCGAAAAGACCCATCTACCATGGCCGCGCGAGCTCGAGTTCTTTGGAACCGAGGTGAACGAGTCCAGCAGCGGCGGGGACCCCTCGCTGGAGGTGAAGCTGGAGCCATTGTGGCGCCGCAGCACGCTGGTGGACCTGGCCAAGGTGGGACCCGGCTGTTCATTGGGTGAATGTCTCCCAGCGTTTCCATTTAACCCACAAGTTGGGGGTGGTTCCCAGCCATCCTGTTTTAGTCGCTCTAGTGGTTGGGGTGACATTTCACCCACAAGCTAAACTTTTAGCAGATCTGAGGACAGCCCAGTGTAGTCTGTGGTGAAACAATGGTGGGTCATATCCAGTCTAATGCAAGAAAACCAAGGGGAAACCCAAGGCCTTGTAACTACTTGGTTTCATCGGCTTTGCAAGGCCGTTACGAGCCACACGAATAGGCGCGCTGTTAGACACTCGGCTCACACCGAAGGGCTGGCACTTGGCACTGAGTCAAAGTCACTCCTCAAATGAGAGGAGAGGTTCAATTGGGGTGACTGGCAAAGCTTTTGGGGATGTCGAGGAGTTTGGGCTCTTTGAAATCAGCGGTTTGGCGAGTAGATTCGTAACAGGAGCATAGGCATAGTTGATCCAGGAACGAGCTTGGTGGACATGGATTGGGGTGGCTCATTTTAGAGAGATCAACAGTAGATGCGAGCGAGTGAGAGGAGATCGGGGGTTCTTGACCGCGAGTCGACCAGAATTACAGGGGTATCCACCCGGGTCTCTCTCATTCTTTGTTGGTAGATTCACAGGGGCAACACTTCAAAGGCTGAAATTTTACCCAAGGCTTCAAGTCTGAGATGTGGTTGGGTCTTTTCTTGCGACTTTGTTGGGGGCGTTTTGTTGGAAAGGACAACCAATGGAAGCCAACCATTCGGAGCCCCCTCCCCATTTTTAAGACAGTGATTGCGCGCGGGCGGGCGTGTAAGGGCACGCATGAGGAATTCAGATCCATCCGCGGCGTGGTCACCAGCTTGAAGTCAGAAATTCGCACGTGCGCGCTCAGCCACGTGAAGATGATGGAATGTATATTTATGTATATACACCGTGTGTATGGATAGATTGGCGCATGTAGTTTGTTTCAAGCCATACACTCGCAGACACTTGTATGCACAGAGTTCTGGCTATGCCCGCGTGGTCATCTGTAGGTGAGCTCAGGGCTCACATGT